TTATAAAAAGATGTTTGCAGAAATGATTTGAACATTTGTAAAAGGCTAATCACTAGATGTACTTATATGTTAGAATATTTCTATGGTAAGGTATAATTTACTTTTCTATATCTGGAACAAATTGCTGTTTCCTCTACCATTTTCTCATCATATTGTTTTGTCCATATGAGGCTTGAATGACCATATAAGGAGTGCTCATCAACTATTAATAAGATGCAAAGAACTGCATTGTGTAACTCTCAATGTGACATTCAAATTGGTAGACAATAGTATGTTTGAATGATTTTCTGATTTCCATTTTCTAATCACATTGTTTTGTCCATATAAGGCTTGAATGACCATATAAGGAGTGCTCATCAACTATTAATAAGATGCAAAGAACTGCATTGTGTAACTCTCAATGTGACATTCAAATTGGTAGACAATAGTATGTTTGAATGATTTTTTGATGTCCTGATTCAAAATTCAGCACTTGTAAGTAGTTCCTGAATAATGTTACCGAATAATGGCAAGGTAATAATGAAATCAAATGAACGCCGGTGTTTTTTATGATCAAATGAACCCCGGTGTTTTTTATGATAAAAAAATGTAATATATGAAAAAAATCCTGCCTTGTTGATTCCACGTAAATTGGATCATTTGACACATCATGTCGATGTTCCATATTTATCTGTTGTCACTTAACTTACATTGGTGGCATCAACTTTGGAAAATCTCATTTTCTGAATTATTTTTTGGAAGTTAAAATTTTTGTTAGAAACCTGTTTATGTCAGTTGGAATTTTTTGTCTCATTTTTAATGTTTTCTTTTCTCCCAAAGCCAGTAGCTACTCTTTCAATTCATCAACCAACAATTTGATTTGTAAAATTATTTTTTTCTCACTAAATTTTGGACCCTAGATACGGGCCTGGAAGTGGGAAACTCGCTGGAAACATCAATAACAATTCTCTTAAGAGTTTTTTTATTATGCTAGAAATGACTATGACGTGAGAATATTTGATTCCCGCCTGATCAAACATTGTTCTAACATCAACAAGAGGATGTCTAAAATTGCATCGGGTATAAGTGCAAATTAGTTTTCCTTTGTATGTTGATCAAATAAATGAAATATTGATGAGATGAAATGCATTTAATCAAAAGTCAGTACCATAAGTAAATGCCATGTAAATGTTTCATAAAGTGTAAAGGTAAATAACTTAATTGTTGTTATCCCAATGAACAAAGTTTGAGTTGGGATACAGAAAAGTTGTCTGTCTGTTCATTTGTATGTCTGTCCGAGCATTAACTCAAATATATGTTGATGGATATGGTGCAAATTTTAAGGCTGATACCTCATGGGCCTTACTAGGACCTCTGCTCGAGCAGGAATATTTGAAATGGTCACTTAGATAAAAATGGCCACTATTTCTTGTAAAAGATATTATCTCTCAGAACTCAAAGACAAGTTGTAGATGGTTCAATTTTAGAAGCGGTTGCCTAAGAACATCAGCTAAAATTGGACATTTTCAAGATAGCTGTTGAATTGACCTTTTGCGATCAGAATTCAGGTATTTTGTTTATGGATACTGTTGTCATGTATTTCGTCTTATTGGTGTGACGTCATATAGAAATGATATTAGACATGATGGAGAGACGAAATGGCGGACATGTGGCAGTTTTGCGCTAAATATGTTATTGTTTCTTTATGAAAATCATTGGTCGGATATTTACCAGGTATGCCGATTTGACTAGATCATGAGTATATCTTTATATGTGTAAAGTTTTGGTGAAATTCATACAAAACATCGATGCCTATAAGCTTAACCGCTATCTAAATCATGTCAGTAAGATCTTAGACTTGGCATGTGCTTAGAATGAATGTTGATCTAGTCAAATCGAACACTTTCGTGAAAAATAAATCAATAAAGTACGAAATACAGAAGATAATCTCTCAAAATCAAAAAGCTGTAGCAGTGTGGCCTAATTTTGACGTCACTACATGATAGAATTCATCCAGTGATCGCAAATCATCAATTCAGAATTGCATTTGTTTTCAGTATGGTCGCTCAATCTATAATGGCAGCAATTTTCCATGAAAATGTAATCTTAGCTGAAATACCAGCTGTCTGATTGTTTATTTTTTATACTCTGCTTCTTTTTGACTTTGCTTTACAAAGAGAGCTAATTGTTAGTTTGTTATAGTCTTTGATCAGAATTGTGATTATACAAACTTTGCATCTGCTTGAAGAAAAAATCCCTTTGAGAATACTGAAGCCCATGCTTTATCACAAATTCAGTATCAACCTAACACTCTCCCCAAAAACATCATACTTCAATTGCTCTGGGAGTTGAGTCACTATTACTGAGCTGTCCAGAATATTTTTGTTTAAAAAAACTGAAAAAGAGGTACATATTTTATCAACTTAAGGATATCTAAACTAAAGAGGTATTTGGGAGATAATCCAGTAATTATTTTGACTTAATTTTCGTTTTGCACATTCCAAGGCTTCGGCAAAAGAAATATTAATCGCATGCATCAGTGAATGCTATATATTGAATGCTTATATCTGATTTTTGTGACTTTGTCTCATGATTGGAATGACGTTTTAATGCTCATGGGAAGTAATTATAGAATTCAATTTGGTTTTCAGACAATTGAACGCCACTTCTCTGAATAATTTGCAACAAATAGTCTCATAAGAATAGCCAAAATATATCTATCCCCTTGCAAATTACGTTTCCAATTACTTCCTCTAAATTACACTAGGGGTGATTATAATGGAATCTAATTAAGGATAAAGGATATAAATTGCAGATTATGGTATAATGTTATACAATAAAATGAACATTAGATCAGTATTCATATGAATATGGTTCTAGCTTCCTTTTTTGTATCACCACGTGTTCTTTACGGGACAGAGGTTCACCATCTGAAATTCTCCTCTGACATCATGAAACAATTTCTCTTTTGAAATGAAATATAAAGGACAAAGATATTTTTTTATTAATTTATTTTTATTTTAGTTTTCAGGGAGGCACTAAAAATCTGTATTCTGAATGACCTTGAACTCAATGGCGTTATGAAAAGCTGAAAATCTGAATTTTTCAGTCCTTATTTTATTGAACTAAAAACATGTATGATTCAGAATCAAGAAGTGCAAATTGAGACTACTTTTCAGTTGTTTAAGGCAAGTTCTTTATTTAAATCCAAACAAGTTGAACAAAAAATGATCTTGGGAAATTAAAAGATTATCCTGGACCAATTTGTTAATTGCGTGACTTCCCAACAGTGATGGAAGTATAGGGACTGCCATCTCATGAGATTTTGAAAATGCACCCATTTAAAAACCAATTTGCATAGAGTTGAAGTAGCAAACTTGAAGATGAATAAAACATGCTCAGCTCGAGCTAAGATTGTGTAAGACTATCTGTCGCAGACAAGTGAAATCTGTTTTAATAAAAAGAGTAAAGTTAAAACAATTAAAACAGGTTTTCTGCAATGATCTGTTATATTCCATGATGATCAATGTACACCTAGGGTAGGGTCTAGGGATGATCTGTCGCAATGCATCATAAGATTTAGCCATGCAGTTAATTTGGTACCCTGCGTGCAGAGTCTAGTTAAACTACACTCTGCCTAGTAGAGACCATATTACATTTTAGAAGTCCCGCCCCGACGACGGGTACCGGTGACAGTTTGGGTAATAAATCACTTTTGACCTACGCGCTGACCTTTCTTCCACCAATCAGCGAGATTGAAGAAACATACGCCAAATGCGTTCTAATTAAATATATGCGCATGTCATTGGTCAATTCCGGGCTCAACGATGACGTCAGAAGGAATGGCCATATATAGAACGTCGGTCAAATTTGGCCGACGACCACTGATTGGCGCGGTGAGTTCACAGGTTTATTTTAGTTTGAAAGAGTGAAGACGAAGCTCTCTTTTAAGAAGTGAAGTCAAACGAATGCAAAGGGTATTAATTTGGAATAATGCAAGAGAAACAAACTTAAAAAGATGACCTTTCAAGTAATGTCAGATTAAAACATACAAGGGGCGATCCATATATTCTGATAAAAATGCTCTCATTTTTTGATTTTTTCACATATACCTTTTATTTTTTCAGAACATGTAGATTATGTAATTACACATATGATGCCAAAATGTTTTAGCTATATCTTAAATCAATTTTGAAATAAGGTTGCCATGGTAACTTGTATTTAGGGTAGGCAGGTCAGTTAAATTATAACGTCTAAAATAGATAAATATGTTAATTTAATCATTCCTCGGTACCTATTTTAAGCAGATCAAACGTATCTTCCAGTCATTGCCAACTATTCATTGATCTGTTCCATACCCATGTTGCCCTTGTTTGATAATTTATACAGTGGGATAGCTATCTTTTCATAAGTAACATCTCAATTTATCGCAGTGTTATTCTCTGTCCGCAAGCTTCTTGCAACCAGATTGTGGATGATCTTCAACAGTGACCATGTCTTCCTCTTTACAATACTACCTATAGATTCTGTATGCAGATATAACACCTTGCTCATGCACTTAATGAGTTCATGTATGTCTCTGGCAGTGTCCTCTTACTTATTCTTGAAAGAAAATCTAATGGTATTCCCTAATGTATCCGATAATGTCACACTCTGCATCAGCCATACTTACCTCATCTGACAATTTGATTTTTGGTGTGTATCATAACATGTAATGTCAATTGGCCCATTCTGTTCTACAATGTTATTGTGATTTGTTGTGACTGTTATATTGAGCACATGTAAACATTTGTTTGGCAACAAACAACGAGTAACAATACCAAACTTTTTTACAAAAATGCATGATTTCCGCATGCTTTAAAATAATTAAAATAACAAGTTATTATGATACTTATATGTTATAATTTAATTGACCTGCCTACCCTTAATACAGGTTACCATGTCAACCTTATCTCATTGATAATTTAAGATATAGCTTGTATATCTAGCATCATATAATTTTTGACTTATGCTTTTTGTTTCAGATTAAAGGCACATGCCAACTCCATCTCTGGGAAGATCATTAGCAGTGGCAAAGCAAAGTCTGGTTATGACAAGTTAACACAGGTATGCATTTATTGAGCACAGAACAAATTAAGTGTTGGACTTAACTGGACATTCTTGGTGATTTTTCACCTGGACTGGCAACTGATAAGGCATCAATGATTTCCAGGATTATGAGGCCAGTGTTTTACTCGCCTTAGTTCTTACCCTGGCGTTTACATGTTTATTGGACTTAAACTCTGCCTTTCCTTTGTCTCATGTGCATTCAATCACATAGATCTCATGGAAATTTCTGCAGAGACATATAGAGAAATCACTGACTTGATGTTTATATCATGTGATTCAATTCTGTATTATTATGAAAACGTTTAATAGTCCTTTAAAATGATGTCATTTTGTTAGGTTGAGAGAAATTCAAATAATTAATAATTTTTCATGATTATTGGCCAGGCCCGTAGCCAGAATTTTCCAAGGGGGGTTCACTTTTCCCAAAAATTCAAGGGGGTCTCACTTTGGCAAGTCAGAATGGTGAAAAACTGCATGATTTTGAAAGAAATTTTCGCCCAAACCCCCCGAACCCCCCCCCCCTGGCTACGGGCCTGTTGGCCATCTTTTTTCATAAATATCTACTCTCTGTATAACACCAAAATAAAGCAAAACTAAGTGTCCATATTATGGAAAGAAATGCGATTTTTGTAAATAGGTTCTGGGAGGAAAGTTCCCTGAAAATTAAATGTCTGGCAACATTTCTAAAGGTCCAGTAAACTTTGGAAAACCAACAGTGACCTTCTTTCTACGCTTACTATTTTCATTGATTGAGAGCAACAATGCAAACTCTAAATCGTGAAAAAGGAGGGTCATTCTGCCAAAGGTTCCAACATTTCAATAAGCAGTGAATCCATAGTACTTAGCCATAAGTGTAATAAATCATATTTTGAGTTTATTTAATAGACTTTCTTTACATCTCAATTCCCCAATATGATTTGATATCAAAGTAGAGTGAAATATACTGTCTACCAAATTGCATGTTCATGATTCAATAATATGGGAGTGTGTTTCAATTAAGCTTGCTGAAATTCAATTTTCACATGATGAAGTAGTTCATCCTGATCTTATAAGGGTCTGTTGATTGCAAAACATTTCATCTGGCGGTAATCGTAGTTGTCGTGATGGGACATTCAGTCTGATCTACTGACCAATGATCTTTCATTTCAAAATCGTGAGACTCATGTCATGGCTGTTGATTATTATCCCATCGAACGAAGTTCGGAGGGATATAGGGAACGCCTCCGTCCGTCCGTCCGTACGTACGTCCGTCCGTCCGTACGTACATCCGTCCGTCCGTCCGTCCGTCCGTCCGGGCAATAACTCAAATACTGTTGGCCCGATTTTGTTCATATTTTGTACACATATACCCTATGGGGGTAGAAGTTCTGCTCGAAAGCCGATTTTCAAAATGGCGGCCATTTTAGTGCCGAATTTACAGTAATTTAGGTGCAATATGTAAAACTGTAATAGCAATATGTTTGAGATGTAAAAAAATTATAAAGGACATTAATAAAGCTAGAAATGTAGATATTAAAGAAGCACATAGCAGCCATCTTGAAAAATGGCGGCCTTTACTCATTATTTTACGATTTTTGCTGTAACTTGTAAAGTAGTGGAGCGATTTTGTTCATATTTGGTATGTGAATACTATAAACATTGCACACTGCTTAAAGACACTTTTGGTAGAAGGCGGCCATTTTGAAAAATGGCCGCCATTTTGAAAAATGGCCACCATTTTAACATATTTTACTATAACTCGAAAAGTAGTGGAGTGATTTTGTTCATATTTGGTATGTGAATACTATAAGCATGACACACTGTCCTATGACACTTTTGGTAGAAGGCAGCCATTTTGAAAAATTTTTTGAAAAATGGCCGCCATTTTAACATATTTTACTATAACTCGAAAAGTAGTGAAGCGATTTTGTTCATATTTGGTATGTGAATACTATAAGCACGGCACACTGTCTAATGGCACTTTTGGTAGAAGGTGGCCATTTTGAAAAATGGCCGCCATTTTAACGTATTTTACTATAACTTGAAAAGTAGTAGAGCGATTTTGTTCATATTTGGTATGTGAATACTATAAGCATGGCACATGGTCTAATGACACTTTTGGTAGAAGGCGGCCATTTTGAAAAATTGCTGCCATTTTTGCTATATACTTTGTTTGCAAAAATGCCATCCATGGCTGTTCGATGGGATTCGCTACGCTTTGGCGTTGCCGTTGTTCTGGTTTATTATAATTTACATTCTATTCATTAAAATTCAATGTACACAGAAATATTCTGTTTTTCCATCCTTTGTAGATGACGGTTGAATAATTTGACCATCATCTAAGCATTGTCCATTTATTCAGCACAGTCCAGTTGCAGTAGTTTCTGACATACCATTGTAGTCAGGAAATCAAATTTGAAGAGGGTCAATGGAGAAAAACTTATTTTATTATTCTATTTTTATTTTATATATTAATTCAAGGAAAGAAAGGGACTGTTTCATTATAGCACACATAAACATGTTATTCAATTAGAATTGCCACTGTGTTGCCTGTTGATATAATCTGATTAGAGGTTCAAAAACCTTGTATGTAAATATTGCGATATGTGATGTGAAATCATTGGCCAAAGCTCAAAGCTGTTCAAGATGATCTTGGCAATTTCCTAGATTTTCGAAGCTAAGAAATTGATTCAGTGCTCAACATGAATGTTTAAGAAATTGCTGTTGATGAATGACGATGGAAATGGGCAAAGATCTCACAGTATTGACATTTGGTCAATTGTATGTCAGCTCTCTAATCTTTCCATTTCTCAGGAGACTTGGTACATAAATCATATTACAGCAACTGTATCCATGAATATGTGTTCTTGCTTTATGAATGGATTTTCTGTTGACATAACTATAACCTTGTGAATCTTGGAGAGAGTTAGGTAATAATTTCCCCGGATTCAGTATTAATGCATTTTGTCATTACGACAACAGCAAAGTAGCAATCAACGAATCTATAGATATACCTTAATCAAATGACTTACTGTCAGCAATGGCCTAATGAACATTGGGGATCTAGCTTCAAAGCTTCTACTGATCTTATCATTATGGTTCTTCTATGTCCAGGGATACCTGCGAACGTGAACACCTCTCTGAGTTGCTGTCAAAGACATAGCTAGGCATGAGGCAGGCGAGGCAATGCCTCACCAAAAGTTTACAGAAGTATGTTCAGATGTTTTGTCAAATAAAACTGTTGAAATGAAGTCCTAAGGTAGTAATATGCAATCTAAATTTGCCTCACCTATTTGCCTCGCCAGATATTTGATCCTCGCTAAGCAACTCTATTGATTACAGTAACTCCTGTGTATATTGAAGAGAAAAAATGTTCAGTGTTGGTAGATGTTTATTACAGAGAGGGTAATTTATACATAAGTCAGTAGAGTATATGTGGAAGAAGGGTGTCTACTAGAGACAGGTGTTCACTAGAGAGAGGTGTTCACTAAATATGGTTTTTACTGTATATTTTATGAAGAATGCCCCTAAAAGCAGACCTCTCAAGTTGAATGTTTCTCAAAGCAGAATACCTTAGTCCTTCTGAAAGGTGAACATTCTCTGAGACATATCAACAATGACTCCCTCGTTAAAAACCCTGTAAATCATGAATTAATGCCTCAAATTAATGCTTATGTATGGTGTTTATAATGCAAATGGTACAATTTAATTTAAAAGAAAATACACATTTTATCATCTTTCTTCAAAAATCACAAAACAGAATTCCATTTCTATAGTTTAAGTATTATCTCCCAAGATGCAACATTGGTAAAAACTAACTCATAATTGTTCGTCAATATTACTGCATTCCTTAACTCCCAAGAAAGCTCACAAAGTAATCAGCTTTGAAGCTATGCTTAGCCTACAAAAACAAATTAAGTGCTTCGAATTAGTATAACTTTCACGGAATTTCAGATAATCGAGTTATTAATGAAGTTCCTGATTATCTAGAAATCTGCTAATGCGGGATTCTGTGTGATGTTAAAATTGTCATAATTTACTGCCATAACTTGCATCTAAATTATGTCTTTGAGTTAATTATTTTGAGGTATAGGTATTGCATGTTTATGATAAATGTGCATTCAAATGTCTTTCATTTAATTGTTGGTGGATTTATTAACCAAAATAGAAGAGGTTCATGTCAAGAGATGCTCAATAGAACCAATTTCCTGAACAATGATGCGATTTCCATATATTGAAAAGAATAGCGTAATTTTCATGCAATTTGAGTGTTTAGACTTTCCATATTCAATTAAATGTAATTGATTTTTCTTTTGCTCAATAATAGTAAGAGGGACCTCTGCTGGCTTTAACCATATTTACATGATGATTATGATTCTTTACTTACTCTTTTCAGAGCAAAACCATAGTGTGCTGATTATTTATTCAAAATTTATATTTTGCAGGAATATAAAAACAGTGCCCAAGCATCACGAGTCTCTTTCTCCACAGTACAAGGGCGCACCCTGGTGGACAACATGGCAGCAAGTCTCTCGGAACTCCTTAGTCATAAAATGATAGCTCTTGAGGTATGGCATTCAATATATCAATTACCACCTGTTATACCTTGCCCTAGTACACACATGAAAAATTCTGCTCTTCCACTTAAATGTAGAATGTATCAGATCAGCCTTAGACTTAAAATGGTAAAAAAAACAACGTAATATCTATGCATGTAAAGGTTACTTCAACTCAGGTTTGATAAGCCAGGAAAGCAGGTCGTAAAACATCTGTCCACATTTTACTTTATACAGGCGAATGATGTTGTGTTTGACATCCATTATCGTAGTTCTGTAGTATTCATTCTGTAGAACTAAATGAAGCCCAACAAAAATCACTTGCATCTTTCTAAATTAGAACTTCTTTGATTTAAAATCATGAAAATGATTGATTGATGTAATATTATACGGAAATCGGAATATTCTAAAAGGTTATTAGGCATTTTCTATATTCCTAGTAAAGACTTGGCTTGATAAAAAGTTCCATGTTCAGTTTTTTGAAAACAATTATTTTCTTTATCAACTGTTTTATGAACTCTACAAAACATCCGTTTCCATTCAAATAGTTATGTGTGTTCAATAAAAAAATGTAACATTGTCACGGTAGTCTATAAAAGTATCATTAAATACAAATAAAGATAATGATAACATTTATTCAGGGAAGCTTTATATTAGTGTGAATAAAGTGAATCATTAACAATAATTTCTATCATATTATTTTGTATTTTACGGGCTAGAGACAAAAGCCATTCATTATATTACATCGTAATATCGGACTAACCTCCTTCCCGACAAGATATAAATCTGTTATTGAAGAAGATTGGACAAATTGCCCCATTCTTGTTACAAATGTATATGCAATAAATCTAAGCGTGTTTCATTTAGAATAATTAGAGGACTTGGCATATCACAAGAGAATTATCTAAGAGAAATTAATGAGTTTCTTAGAGAAATATAGCTTGCATGATAGTCAGATATTATGTCTCATCGCAATAAGTCTAGCAAATTAGAGATTTGTTTTTCTTGAATTATACATTTCCTAGAGCTGTATAATGACAGAGTTGTATGTTTTACTTTTGTATATCTCTCTGTTTTACTTGATGTTGATTTGGTTGATGTTAAATGAGGCGAGGTGACAATTTATCATGATGCCGATTCGTTGACACTTGCTGGAAGCATTACCAAATCTTTGTTTCCAGCTCATTCTGAGAGAAAAGAATGTTTCCATATCTCTTATTTGCGATATTTCAACATTGCAGCTTTAACCTGAATCGCTTATGATTATTTCTTTGTCAATTAATTGTGGTAAGCTAGCACTGCATAGAGAAGTCTACAGGGAAAGTATCGGATCATTTTGCAAATAAGATGCGGGTTTAACTGTGGAATTCTGATGAAAATACAGAATACATAATACGCATATGTTTGTTATTGACTCTTACGATGTCTGTCTCTGACTTATAGGAGATAAAAAAAATTGAGAAATCTTTCATGTTAAAAATTAATATTTCTACATCATTTTCCCTCATATACATACCAGTATATATATGTGATGTCTATAATAGATGTAGTTTCAGCTGGTACTAGCTTGGAGGTTAATTATAAGAGCTTGGAATTGTTCCATTCTCCATGCTATTCATGTTATATCCCTAATCGGACTAGAGTTGCGCCAAAGATCAATATTGGTAGAAACAATTTCTAAAAATAGAAATCATTGTTCTAGTTTATTATGTTAAATTGCGCAGCCTTACTCTTATTGTATTAATATGCTATTATTAAGATTCTGTCATTGTCATTTTCATTCTTTATCTTAAGGATCCTTAGAGGTGCAAAGTTGGGGAGGGGGGGGGGGGTTGTTTGTGGTAGGGTTGAAATGTTCAGTATGCTGTTAAAAGTGAACATCTTTGAATTAAGAGCCTATCTACCAGCTTTACAGTAGTATAAAAGCTGTGAAATCTACAACCAAATTAAATACTTTAAAAATCTCTCATTATGTAAAAAAAAAATGTAATAAATTATATTGTACAATAACCCTAACAACACTAGTTCTTCAATCTCCTTTTAATACCGGAAAAAGTAATCTTCATGTGGCATTATCGCAGAGCTATATGAAAAACTGTAAGCTCGTAGGTATAAATATGTAATGTTATCTCTTGTTTCAGGAGTCAGTGAAGCATGCCGAAAAGGTAGCCAAAGTTTACAAATGGAATGGAGATCTGAAAGTAAGTGGACAGATCTCTGAACACCTCTTAATGTGAACACTTTTTCACAGTTCAAAATTTGTTATTCCCATTAATTGACATATTTATTTTTTAAAAACCTTAAAATGTGAACACCTGCTGAAAATTTTTTGCTTGTCCCAATGGTGTTTAAAGCCTGGTTTTACGGCATAAGCAATTTTCTATTTTAGATTTCCCTTTATTAATTTTTCTAGCTTGACTAAGATATGATTTCATGGCATCTGATTATTAATTTACAGCAAATATGAAATTACTCTTTCTTATACCAGTTTTTGTTACATACTTTTGTATTAAAAAATGAAATCAATATTTTGTGGTGCATCATCTCAGGATTACCAAGAAAAGTTATATAGTAATTTTAGCCTTTGATTAATAGCACCTGCTTTAGGTGCTAATATGGCGTTTATTTTTGTGCATTCAGCATCAGGGGTCTGTATCTGTGACAAATGTTACACTTTTGTTACCAATTGCAGATGGTGACATTTGTCAATTGTCATGCTAATGCCTTGTATATGAATGACAATATTGCCTCAAGACGGTGAACCCCTGTGTTCTTCGTACTTCCCTTCCTGTGAAAGTACACAGGAGAAAATACTGGGTTCTTGTTCCAGTTTCACTGTTTGAAACAGCATAAAACATACTTAACTACAGTAGCTTAAAATGAAAATGTACCACCATGTTAATTGAATTAATTAAATCCAAAGTTGTCCTTGTTTAACTCCTACTCAACAAGCTAAAACCTATGTAACTGATTTTAGAATTATAAAATACATTTATAACACGACATGTTCAATATATGCCAGTCTACATGGTGTTTCTCAAAATGAACCTAGAATATATATTGTCCTATCATGTCATTTTGTTACAGTCTCCAACATGGTGACATATTTTTGAAGTCTCAAACTTTTTTGTGGAAGGCATTCATTGGTTGGTGTTTGGTGCTTGGTGCTTGGTGTTCAACCACTGTAACAAATGGCAGGTGGTGACATTTTGCATTTTAATGCCTTGTATGATTATGTGTTCATTTGTTCTTGTTTCAGGAGGGTGATGTTGATTATATAAATGCAAAGACAGTGAAAGAAAATGATACAAACTTTGAGATGAACCATCATTTTCAACAACGAGTCAACATGAACGCATCAAGTGTACACATTCCCGTCGAGATATTTGAAGGAGGTAAGATATCCTGCACTGATCTTTCTGAAATGAACGATTGAATGATCTCATCCAGATATAATAACCTACATTCTTGAATTAAAAAACGCATGATGAAGAGTCAACTCTCAAAAATGAAGTTAAATAATGCTCAGTTTCCTCCAAAATTGATTTTTCTCATACCCATAAAAACATATAAAAGAGAAAAGAAAAAACCAATTCATTTCAGATTTACAATGATTCTTTGGTCTCTTCTGTTGCATGGTTTGATTTCAATTTTCTTTCAGTCATGGTCCAGTTGTTTAGAGCTAGTTTTAGTACTTCCTTGGTTTGAGAATAAATCTTTGTTATCTTTGTGCAGTTGTATATCTGTTAGCCCTATACACAGTTGCAGCTAGGCTGGTGAATAGTAATAACATAAGATTGATTCAATATATAAGTAGTACCTTCATAATACATTGTTTTAATACATATTATGAAACTTTCATTGTCTTGTATTTGTTACCTATTAAAGGATAATTTCAAAACATCATCTTTTTCAAGAGTTTTTTTGTGTAGAATTATCTTCGTTACTTTTAATAATAGAATGAGAATTATAATATCATTTGATTGCAATTTGTATTAAAATATTTTGTTCTATGACTGCCAATTTTTATTGGTTATCTAGTAGTGAATGTCAAATTTTGGCCATGTGCAGCAGCTTTAGGATAATAGCACATTTAAGATGATATCCCCTCAAGGCTCACTTAATGAATCATTACTTGTTATGTGTATTTTGTTATTGCTTTACTGTCTTCAGATCAAGCACCTAGAAAATGGAAAGTTTAGCACCAATTAACTAGCCAAAGCAAGATATTGCATACAAATTCTTTTTGATTTGTGCCCTCAAATGACTTACTTGGACAGTTCCAACTTTTGTATTTAATCCTATTTGCAGGTTAAACTTAGAATCAGGGCTATAGGGGTTGATAAAGTTGCGATCAATATCCACCATTTTCAAATCATTCAAAATTGATAAGAGATAAAAACATATCAAATAAGTCTCTCCAAATCTTTAAAGTTAAGTTTCTGTGATACGGTACAAGTAATAGTAAGTATTAGTCAATTTGTATTATAAACCATAACACTTAAAAATGACACACTTTTTCAACACAATCTCAGCTCTCACATTTTATAGAGTGAAGTATCCTATTTAATTCCTTTGAAGTTATCTTACATTATAGCGTCAGCTTTCTTATGTTTAAAGTAATCTGTATCCATGTTTTCATGGTAATTATCACCATAATATATCAATAGCTTTGATTTGTTTGATAGGGAAATCAATAGGACTGTATTCACTGTATACAAGATAAGGCAGAACTTTCTTCAGATCAGATACTTGGAAATGATGTATTGCTTTTGTTTGTGACCCGCATTTTTACGAACTTCTAGGACGACTATTAGAGTAAACTACGAGTATAAGAAGCGATTAAGAAACTCATTAGAGGCCTGAACAATATTTCAATTATTTCTTAGTTTTTTATTTATTTACATGTACTTTTTGTGTGTGCCTGTTTATCAAGTTGTACTGAAATTTGAATTTACAATTTTCATTATTGCATTAAGCTTGGAAGGTAACTAGGGATCCAGATGTGACGCCTCCAGAACGCACAGTTCCACGGCCTCAACTTGGTACTACTAACTGTAGTGTTTAGATAACCGTCCTGGGTGTTTAGATAGTGTCTAGATACCTATTCTGGTGTTAACCATTGTCTAAACACCCATCCTGGGTGTTCATACAGTGTTAAGATACCCATTCTAGGTGTTTGTACAGTGTCTGGATACCCATTTTTGGTGTTTATACAGTGTCTAGATACCCATCCAGATTGTTCCTACAGTGTGTAGATTCCAACCCCATGTGTTATTCTGGGTATTTATACAGTGTCTAGATACCCAATTCTGGGCATTTATACAGCTTGTCTAGATACCCAATTTGGGTGTTTGTACAGTGTTTGGATAGCCATTTATTCAGTTGCAGACCAATTTATTCAGAGCTGTAATATAGTTATCACTGAAGCTTAAATGATCCCCTGGGTATCAGTACATTGTCTAAATACCATTCCTATTAGAACTTTCATATCAATCATGAGATTTTCCTCATAGTTTATCTACTAACTCTGCTTATTTCTATAAAAAAGTGTCCAATGCACTATACAGGGTGTCCCGAAAGTATGGGGCCCCCCCTAGGCAGACATACACCAATGTTCCCATAGTATGTGTCATATATCATTTTAAAGCTCACCCAAGGTTACATTGATTTGCCAAGTATCATTGTTCAACTTACAAATGGGAAAAAGTTATAGGCATTTCAAAATTTAGTGTTTGGCCAAAATTAAAGTTAAAATCAGTATCCTGGAAACACCGCTAACCTGAATGTGACCAAAAATATGGGTGCTATCGTTAAAGAGAGGGTGGATATTGAGTTGTAAAGAGAGGTCTGTAAGGGCAGATACTCCAAGGAAACTCTTCTAAAATGCCTTAAAAAGGTTTTGTGAGGATTATTAAGTGCCATACCCCTATTTGCAGTGTATTTAAGGTCATATCTGGAAAGAATTGCTGCTGTTAACATGGCCAAGAGAGACACAGCGACTATTAATCTTGTGTAAAACTAAACTTTAATTTTGGTAAAACACTACATTTTGAAATGTGTGTAATTTTTTCCCGTTTGTGAATTGAACCATGATACTTGGCAAATCAATGTAACTTTGGACAAGCTTTAAAATGATATATGATACATACTATGGGGACATTGGTGTATGTCTGCCTAGGGGGGGGGGCATACTTTCGGGACACCCTGTACACTGTATATCATGAACAGTGTCACTCAGAATGTGAGCCATCCTTTGTGAATGCATACTAGATATAGTAATTATTCTGTGAAATTATTAAATGGGGAAAATCGTTTACATGATTGTTGTTTGGAAGTTTTAAACAGTTAACTCTTTAGATAATGTTTGTAGGTGATGACACACAATGTTCCCAATCTGTTGTATTGAATGTTTTATAAAGAGAAGCTATTAAAAGGTTTATGTTGCATCAGAGACATAATTAACAAATAAAGTATACCTGGTTGTGTACTAGATTGAAATAAACTGCTGGGTAAATTACATTATGGCGATTTTGAATTTTTTGATAAAAAAGTGTATTATCACTCTTCTTTTCATTTTAACATTTTGTATGAATGGGGGGGGGGGGGGGGGGCTAGGCTAGAAGAGTAGCTCAAGTCTCTGATCTGACATCAATCTTCTCATGGCTTTCCTATTGTTAAAATGTTAATACAATTGTTACACTGTTACAATATTTAGGAATTTGTAGGGATATACATTGTATTTTTATAAATATACTGTATTTTCACATATAAAATGTATTTTCACATATAATGAAATTTAATACAGAGAGAAGTAGAGTACTGTGTTGAAGAGTGAATACATATATAGTCTTGTCTCAAGCCCCTCTGCCCCAATGCCAATTTCCTCTCTTTGACTGGGATGGGGTTAACCAGAGATTTGGTGCGAGACTAAAATCTGTACTATGTTGTACCTGTATTTATATTTTTGATCAGACACTATACAGTATATATACAGCTATTGTTGTTTATTAAGTATTTGCTAATGTATGAGGATTAAATTGGATTTCATGAAGTTAATTATAATCAAGCTATTTATGATAAAATTTTCTAAAAAATAGTTCAAACTGAATGCAGAACATTATTTTACAAATCATGTATTTCAACAAATTCTCACACATTTCTGAAAAAAGTGCATTAGAGAATGAATTTCTTTGTGAATCTATAGATGGCATTGGAGTGTTTAACCATTAACGATACTACCAATAATTTTTTGTTAAACAAATATTCAATGAGTTCAATAGGCTAATGGTTTGACATCTGATTTTTGATGTCAGTTTGTCATTGCAATTGAATATTAGCCAATGGTACGAGAAACATTAATTTGTTTGTTTTTTAGCATTCATAATATGTTCATTCACACATGTAGTCTCTACAAATAGTGAAAGTTGCATTCTTTTACAATCGATATTGAAAACCAGCACATATATGTTTCAGACATAGAGATACTGAATGGCCTCGAGTGGTCGCGAGCAATTGAGGACCAATGGAAGAAGAATGCTGAAGACTACCCTGACCTCTTGTGGCAGTATTTTGGTAGCCAGCAAGGCTTCATGAGAAACTATCCAGGTAGATTACTCAGTACCTACTTGCTAAGTTTGATTTGTTTTTGTTTTTTTGTTTTTTTCAATTTATTTCAATTTCCTTGATATTGATATAAATACAAAAGTGTGCCTTTGTTAACTTAATAACAGTTTGATTTGTGATAGTATATTTTCAATCAACTAACAATAGGGGACAATTTAGTCTTTTAAGTCATTGTGAATTTTAAAGATAATACTAATGTCTGAGTAGTATACTGAAATTATTAAGTCTCAGTTTAAGAATCTAACACTGTGTGCCTTCATTTTGCAATATGTGTTATTCGTTGTAAGCAAAACGTTTTCTTGGAAAAACATATTTCTGCACTTTCCACATGGTTGACACTGAACACATAGCAGTTTATTCTTTACATTTGTGTATCTCCCTTGATCTGATCAGATGCTTACTGGAGAGAATATAACACTGTGTTGGTGCAGTTAATTTAATAATAAATTAGAATATCATTTGAATGGGCACATGTTAGTAATAAAGTAAAATATTTTGTATTGTATGATGATATATTTGAAGCATAAAAATGGCACATAGAGGGTGTTGACGTGTATGACATGAGCAGATGACCTTTGTACATCAAGGGGGCCAGCTCTCAAGATATAAGTTGAATGTCAAGTATTTTGTATTGTATGTCGATCTATTTGTAGCATCAAAATGGCGCAGAGAGGGTGTTAACTTGTATGACGTGGGCAGATGACCTTTGTACATCAAGGGGGCCAGCTCTCAAGATATAAGTTGAATGTCAAGCATTTTGTATTGTTTGTCAATCTATTTGTAGCATCAAAATGGCGCAGAGAGGGTGTTGACTTGTATGATGTCAGACGCCGCCCTTGGTACACTCAGGGGGCCAGCTCTCCTAAAGATATGTTAATCCTCATAGACACGTATGTACAGAAAATATCCAATTTGCTATCTAAAAATCTTTTGGAATCTTTCTGCAAGTAATTTGAATAAAAGGCCTATTAATTTGAAATCAACTTTTGATGTGTGGGTTAAATTAGGGTGTCATAGCCTTGAAACTTGAAGTATCGAAATAAAATTTTTGTATTGAGTTGAATGAAAGTTAAAGTGTGATACATTATGAACATTTAGCATGGAAATCACATTTGTTTTTACCTGTATATACTGTATTCATCGTAACAAAGTATTCAAATATTGGTCAATTGATAGTGGTAAAGATTGGGTCAAAATATTAATACATATTTTCCTTGCAAAAATATTGAACCCCTTCATTTAAGGTGAGGGGCATTGAAATTACATTAGTGTTTCTTTATGTCCCATTTTAAGTGTTTTTAACTTAGCAAAATAGAATTCTAATCCTTTCCCCTAAACAATATTGTACCCAACATTCATTGATATTTGTTTCCTACAGGAGTGGCAGTACCCATGGTCAAGCCCTACAGTTAATGAAGACCTCTGTCAAGTCACTACTTGATACACTTGGGGAGAATGACTTTGTCAACATTGTACATGTGAGTAGAAAGAGCAATAAAACAAACATAAAAGGGCAGATTGCTTTTTTTTGTGTACCAGTATGATAAGAATTGAAAGTTAAATACATTGTATGCTGCTGAATAATTTCAGTCTCTTAATATCATATTTAACTTCACTCTTTTCTTAAAGGTACACTTTTATTTTGTGTAAATATTATTCTTGGATATGTGCATATAAAGTTCATAATATATGTATTATATAAGTACCTTGAGAAAAAATCTGAAATTCCAAGTATTTATGTGTTGTCTTAATTACATGGTTACAATGTCAAATTAATCAAATTAATTGGTTTTCTTATTATGTGACCTTTTTGAATTTTAAGTAATAAATACCAATAAATGTCCACAATTACTTGACAGTATTCCTAAATGACTCTAAACAACACCTAGTAATCTTTTAAATGGGTAATCAATTATACAGCTCATTTCGACTGTCCTGAATTTGTCCATACATGCAATGCAAACTTCTGAACTGTGAATTGAACTTTAGACTTTTTTTTTTTTTTTTTATAATTGAACTTTAGACTTCATAAACATCAAATAAACACTTAACAATTTTACAATTTGTAGAAAATATACATCTACAAAATACAAGAAAAGAGCAATGGTACTTACCAATAACACAGGTGATTCATTAATAAGGTCATGGTCATCTAATCTGGTATATATTACAATGACAAAATAATTTTACAATTTTCTTGAATACAGTGTTTGGCGCTTAGCTCCCCTGGATAAATACTGTAAAATGACATAAGTGGGAACTATTTGCTCTAAAAATTGACAATCTCAGTAATTAAATACATCATTGAACTTTGTTGCTAGTTGATAATTCTTAGAAAACTGAAATATGTACATAAACAGAGATTCTCTTTCTGAAATATAAGTCTCTGTAAGTATAAATTTTGTAACCTTGTTATGTTATATGGTTATGCTATGTAAAAAGAAATATATGGATCTTATAGCATCTTGGTTATGTTGTATTATTTTGTACTTTATCATTGTATTTCACTTGTTATTTTTCAGTTTTCTCAAAAAGCAGAGTATGTTGTGAGCTGTTTTCAAACATTTGTCCAAGCAAACTACAGAAATAAGGCGGTATGTACATTTTTTTTTTACTTTGTTATACTAATCAGGACAGCAAATTCTTAATTTAGTCAGTTTCCCAATCCTTCCATGAACAGGCCTTATAATCATATATTTTTACTTTGTTATGTTGACCAGATCAGCACTTAAAGTAATTCTTAATTTAGTCAACTTCCCAACCCTCCCATGGATCAAAAGTAATAATCACCAGGGGTGGGGGTAAAACATAATTTTTGGGATTAAAAGTGACGACTATTTTGGATTTCCTTATTTCACACAATAGGAAATTCATGAAATTATTACTGCTCATAAGAGATTGGACAATAAAAAGCTGAAGATCCTGTACTGTACTTGTAGTCTTTGTCTTGTAATGTTTCAGCCAATTTCTTCGCACGTTTTCGCCCCTTTACCACCCATTTCAATGTGCCATAATCTCGCATTTTGCCAAGCTCTGAAGCAGCATTGTTGTTTTTACTTTCAAGGGTTTTTATTTCTTCTTTCATGTCATGATTTTCATGTCTCAACTCATGAACTGTGGCCTGAAATGCAAAGAATAATAACATAAGCACCTCCATATTATTGATAACACCCAGATTTGCCTCCAATGATTCAGTGCTCTAGGTAAAGCTTCACACAAGTACCCTGATGAGAGCTGCTCATCCTCTACCAACTCATAGCACTATTGTGTTATTTGCATAACACTACATCTAAAATGTTTAGCTATGTCCCTGGCAACATTTTGTTCCTATGATATTTGAACAGATTATGCTGCTTCTCAGTTTGCTTCTGAACGTTCATTTAAAATAGTATTTTTAGTTTTACTATAGTTTTATGATAAAAACAATTTTCTGTTTTTGTTTATTAATTTCAATTCAATTATTTATTTCATAATTCTTATATAATATACACTATAAAAACAAGCCGCTAGACACCCTAGTGGGTATATGTTGCGGTTTAACAGAAATCATTAAAATGACAACTAGACTACATATAAAAGAAAACACTTATATTATGTTACATGTAGGTATATAAAAATGGTATTAACAATTAATCTAAGGATGTACAATGTAAAAATGTTACAAAAATCGGGTACCAGTATAAAATCAACAGTATAGTATGATATTGGTATTATACATTATCGATAGATGAGTAGTTTATTATTTTGTTTTAATATACATTTTTGGATTAATTTACCTCAAGTCCTGTTTTCTGTGCTTCTAATGTCTGAAGTTTCTCTGTCATTTCAGCTTGTGATTTTGCATGATCCTCTCTTACTGTTTCAAGCTTGATTTTCATGTCTGAGATTTCTTCTTCGTTTGCTTTGAATTTTGTTTTAAAATTACGGTACTCTGTTTCAGTTGATTTGAGTTCATTTGTTAAGTCTAATACCTTTGCGTTCGTGTTTTTTAGTTCTGTTTCCAAATCAGCATTCTCTTGTTTGATTGTGTTCACTTCTCCCTCCATTTCTATATTTTTTGCAAAGATTTTATTCATCTTCTCCTAAAAATGAAATGAAATTCACTAAAAAACTCCAAAGCTACTTTGTGGAAAGCATTGGACAAAAAGGTAATGATAACACCATACTTCTTAAGTGCTTTAATAATTTATTTCAGAATTATACTTGATATTTCCAAAGTGCCTTTTGTATACTTTTATGATATTATTCTAGGAATATCTTCAGTGGAAATGTACAGGGTGTCCCAAAAGTATGCCCCCCCCCCCCCTAGGCAGACATTTACCAATGTCCCCATCATTGGATTACTATGGGAAATTCCTCAAAGAGAAAATTCTTGGGATTAAGGAAGGGGTACCAGGAAGGGCCATTTTTTGTTAAAAAAATGTAATCTTTGATAACTCAAATACTAGTTGAAGGATTTGGTTTAAATTTTATATGCTGATGCCTAGGGACAAAGAAGCTACCCTGAAGAAGAAATTTTCAAAATGGCTGCTAAATATCAAAATGGGGGCCATTTTTCCTAAAAAAATGTAATCTTTGATAACTCAAATAGCAGTGAATGAATTTTTTTTTGAATTTTATATGCTGATGCTGAGGGACACAGTAGCTCTGTTCGAGAAAGATTTTCAAAATTGCAGCTGAATTTCAAAATGACTGACATTTTTCGTAAAAGGAATGTAATCTTTGATAACTCAAATGCTAATTGATGGATATGGTTTACATTTTATATGTTGATGCCTAGGGACAAACAAGCTCTGCTCAAGAAGGAATTTTCAAGATGGCCAATAATAAGAAAAATATGTTTTATTTGGTGGGATTTGCTACTCTGTGGAGTGAATAAATGATACCTCTAATATATCAAATCTATCATCATTATTCCTGTTGTTATTGTTCAGACGACTCTTTAGATATTTGATTTCCTCATCCTTTTGAGTCACCGACTGCCTGTTTTGCATGTCTTGATAGCCTAAAATCAAGACAGTATTAATAGACACTGGTATATGCATTTTTACTATGTCACTACCAAAAGTAGCATATTGTTATAGTCTTCAACCTTTTTGTTGTGGGTTAGTCTTCAGCAGTTAGTGTTTGGCATTTACAATTAATGGCAGGGGGAAATATATTGTCTCTACAGCATTCATCAATTTATCAATTATTCTTGAAACTGATACAAAATAGATTTGACAGGCAAGATTTCAGAGCTACATAAAATTTAGCCAACATACCCAAAACTAATACATTTAAATTTAATTTCAATGAACCTCCTAGCCTTGCCCAAGTCAGTCTCTTTTACTTATCTTGATTTCTATTATGACCGCCTTGTACCCAAGAGAAAGCCATGTGCTTTACCGATCCAATGTTTATGACGGTAAAATTTGACCAATCAACGACAGCCCTGACGCGTTAGCTCATTATTATGCATGGTAAAAAACAAATACACTTTTCACCGGGACTTTCCACGAACAAATCTTGCACGAATTCATCATGAAAATACAAATATTTTATCAGATAAATATCAGAGTTAAGTGGATAGCGGAGCATTGGTCGGATACCCGGAGGTGAGAAGATTTCAACAAGAAACATTGAAACGATCGCTGAATTCAATTGATCGAACACTAGGCTGAGATTCAATCACTGAATCAGATCGACTAGGACTTGAAATTCAATGATCTGATCGAGTGTTTCTTTAGAGTTACTATATATTATGTAATTAAATGTACATTGGAATGTTAGCAGTCATTAATATAAATTAAATCATGCAATTCGATGTTGGTTCAAAACTGAATTCGCGATGAACAAAATGCACAAAGAGCTAGTCCCAGGCAAGGCAATGTAGTTTGCTTTGTTTAAGCAGGTCAACCTGATAATGTTTTGATTGGTCAATCAGCCTGAAGTCACATGTCGTGTCCATGCGATCTTGTCAATCAATAAGGTTTCCCGATACTCCAGACAGCGTAGGTATTATGGGAATCTCGAAACCGCTAAATAACTTAGCATAATATCAGCGATGATGCATTGGATTGTACAAGGCGGTAATAATTCAAGATCACATAAGTAAAAAATATCGACTTGGGCAAGGCTATGAACCTCCCTGAGGAGGCTAATATGAATTACATAATAGGTTCTAAGATGGAAAATCCAAAATGGCGTAAACTTATCAGATTTTGAAGTAAATTGCTTTACAGATCAATTTCAAATTTTCAGGGATGATTCTTTAAATGAAAATCTAGAACTGAATAATTTAGAGATATTTTTGGATTATCTGTCCTAAAATCTCATCTGTAAAGTCTTGTCTACACATTTCAAGGCCAACTGTTTGATGGATCGATTTCAAATTTTCAGGAAAGATTCTATGAATATGAAAATCTCAAACTGACTGCCTTTTTGGATTTTTGGTAAAGGGTAAGGAGGCCATTTTGAATTTTTTTCTAAAAAGTTTTCTTCAACTGATAAGTGTTTGGCATTCAGGATGAAAAAATTATAAAGGATTGCCCATAGGTAGGAACGTGTTGTACACTTTTGAGTTCTTGTTATACTTTGCATACTTTGATTCATTATAGAATTTTACCTGAAAATTTGTAATCAGTCTGAGAACATACCCTTAGGAAAAAAACAACCATTTTTTTCGAATTTCAACCGTTAAAATCCATTGCGCAACCATTACAAATCATTGCATAACCATTGCTGCAACCAATTGAAATGGTTTCCAACCATTACATGTACATTGCAACCATTAAAATTTGGTTGAAAACTTTGGTTGCATATCATTGAAATTATGGAATCATTTGCAACCATTACAAACCATTGATTGTTTAAGTTGCATTTTACCAAATGGTTGCAACTATTTTCAACCATATTGTGGAGATTATTTAGTTTAAGAATGAGACAATTTGAAACATGAAGAACATACAAGTAAATTGAATGCATTATTATGTTTCAAAATACAGTAGTTCATGTTTATGGGCATATTATTCCTTATCAATTGAAGAGAATAAGGTTTATTCATTTTTGGCACTGGATATGACTTCAAGTTCATTCTCATAGGCATATTATTTCTATAAAGAATAAGGTTTATTCATTTTTGGTACTGAATATTACTTCAAGTTCATGTTCGTAGAGATAGTATTTCTATTTTATTGAAGAGAATCAAGTGTATTCATTTTTGGCCCTGGTCATTCTTGTAGTTTATTTGGAAATTCCTTCTTGATTCATTCAGTTTTAGTGAACAATACAACAAAACGTTCTGTGGAAATTTTCTGTTTTTCTCCTGTCTCAACAAAAAAATGTTTCTGACTAAAAGTACATACATACATATTATGAAACATCAAACACTGTATTTCCTGCCTCTTATTTATGATTTGGATTAAGCTAGTGCCAAAATAACTGCTTCTTCAATATCAAAGAAGTCTTATTATAACAATTAAGTAGATTAAACTGAAAATGTTTCCAAAACATGATTTTGAAACATCAACATCCTTGTATTTATGCTTTGGATTAGGCAAGAGCCGGATTGATTGTCTTTTCTTCAATATCATTTACAAATCAAAAAATATTAATTACTATTGGATTAAACTTTAATCATAATGACTGAAAGGGAAATATCTTAAAAACTTGAATAGATGATATTTCCTTTTACTAGACATGGTTTTATGCCTATGAGCATGAACTTGAAGTTGGATATGTCTCAAAATTGTATTATGAACTTAAGTTAACTATCGCTAGAAAAAAGAGAATTCATCAAGACCATAGCTGGCTTCAAAAATCTTAATGTGAATCTCATCTAATTTACTATGATTGTGTCATTATTATGGTAGGGGGAATTCAAAATAAATTATTCAGACAAAAATAATTCTTAAAAAAGAATTAATTTGTAATGATTTTGTTAAACTTTCAAAACAGAACTTTATCTAATTGGCTGTTCAAGGGTTATAATTAGCATTTCAATGGTTATAATTAGCTTTTCAATGGTTATAATTAGCATTTCAACCGTTGCCGCTCTGTCTGTGCAACTGTTGCTGCTCTGTCTTTGTACCTTATCTGAATTCAATAATGTGAAATCTTAATTTGTATTTCTACAATTTTCTTAATGAAAATAAGCCAGCAAAATTAAACAATATTGAATTGAAACAAAAAAGAACCCTTATTTTCTTACAAGATTTCTGCATTTTTCATTCTCCTTAAAAACGATACCTGATAAGTGATTGCAATAGTCATAGAAATAAGTGTTTAAAATCCTAGGGATTAGATTAAATGATTTATACAAATAAGTGTATGTTTTTTGTTGTTCTGGAAGTGACGTCAGACTTGTCATTGAGAACAAGATCCGAGACACACAAAGTCCAAAAAAAATTCTTTAATGAGAGAAGAGTGTGATAGACTGCAGACTACAGACATGCTTACTTAAAAAAACAAAAACATACTAATAATATCAACATAGCCATAGCCAAAAATTATTTCAAATTCAAGCAGTTTTTCACCATATTGAGGACTTTTCAAGCGATTTTGGCCAATTTTTGGCCATAGTTATAAAATATGAATCCCCTTGTAAATTTGTCAAAAGTGCAAAAGCTGGCTACAGGTCTGCCCATGAGCATTCATTTTGAGGATTAATGGTTGCAATAGTTGCAGTTCTCCATCAATGGTTGCAATCAATTGTAACTGTTAATTTCAATGGGTAATGGTTGTAATGGTTTTGCAATGGTTTCTCAAAAATGGTTGCGTAACCACTGCAAGATTGGGTGAAGTAATGGTTGCGCAATGGTTTTGAATGGTTGATATAATGATTTTTCCTTTGATCTTCAAGGTTGAAATGATGGTTACATGATATGCAATGAAACCATTGAATTTCGGAAAAAATGGTTGTTTTTTTTTATAAGGGAAAAACCACAAAATTGATGCCCAAAAGATCTCTGAAATTGAAACCTGAAATTGCCAGGAAACTTAAGCAAGCAGATTTTATACCTACTGCTTTTTACTCATCTGGCAAACTGATCAAAAAATAGTAACTGAGAATGCAATTAAAACAAAGTTGGATTTCCCAACAAACTAGATATTTATTACTCCTACTACCTTAAAGTTTAATGATTGCCAGAGAAACATTGTTTTAATGCTTTTTTGAAAATATTGCTTTCAACATTTGCCATATATACATTTATGTACTCTATATAGACTATTTAAAGTTCATTAAGTAAAACTGCATTTACCTAATGAGTAGGCATCCTCATCATCAGTATACTGTTGGTATTCTGATGGTATTCTGGTTGTTTTCTGATATGGGCTTCCAAACTGCCAATATTCATTGATGTTACGAAGCTCAGGCATGATATGTTTTGACAGGTGCAGCTCTTTATGAATCTTTCTACAGTGTCTCTTAGCGTAATTCTGTCCTTTGTTCAAGGGATACCCTTATTTAAACAAATTGTTCGACTACGTTGATTGGCTGAAGTGCAATAGTCATTCTCATTAAATCATGGTTAAGAACAACCTTATTTTGTTATTCATTTTTCACTTGAAAGTACAAGCCTTGTGCATTACATATACAATCAGACTCCAGGGCATCCAGCAATGTTTGTTCAGTATTGTGGCTGACCTTCAAAATCACAAAAATGGATAGAATGTGCAAGACAAGAAGTATTATATCTTGTTGATGATCACATGTGGTTTAAAAATGGAAACATAACTTGCTTTGATGAATGTGTTATATCACAGGCTTTCAATTATCACACTGTTAGTTTGCTGGGTAATTTTTTCTGGTAGCCTGTTTTTGGTTGACTGTGAAATTTTCCACTCATCTGTCTGTCTGTTTATTTTATCAGCAATATTCAGACACATGAAAAAAGCTATTGTCTGAATGAGGTAATACTCATTTCCATTTTATGGGGATTAATACCAGTAATTTACACAATTGTAATTGGAAAAGTAGAAGAGCAATTTTGTTGATATTCTATATGTGAATACTTCGAAGCATAACAAAATTTTTTGACAACTTGCCTATGACATAGCCATTTTAAAAATGGTATCCATTTATAGACATTTTTGCTCTTAAACTGTTTCATGATATTTTGAAAAATTAAGGCCATTCTTGTATGATTCATTTGAAGTTTTTTAATTTAAAGAGTGCATTAATTAAAAGTTAGTTTATGTAAGTTTAAGTAGAACTTTATTTTTAGCTTGTTCATAGGCGATGTATCACCTTTTGTCAATAAAATAAACATACATGACCACCTGACCTTTTTGATGGCCATTAGTAAAAAAAAATCACCTCAATTTAGGTGACATTTTACAGCTAGCTCATATTTTAGGTTCTTGATTTTTCTTGCTTAATGTGACTTACACCTTTGTTTTCCCATGTGAGTCAGTCAAGTACCCATTAAGCTATTATATAATTTTAATATCTTTGTGTCTTTTGGTGTACTCTTAGATGTTTTCTTTTTCTTGCTGTGTTTTGTAACCATTTCTGGGGTTTTCTTGTTGGCACTTGTGCTTACATAATCTTCGATACCAATAAGTACTTGTTGGTTAATGCACCTCTAAATCAAAATGTCGTCAACCATTATAGTTCTACAAGTATAGTTTATTTAATTATTGAAAGGTTTAGTGGTTGATTCATGGGAATAAAACTGTTTATATATTTTTTTTTACTCATACTGGAAATTCCAATTTGGCAGCCGTGTCTAAATGCACGTAGTTTATTTCATGAAGCTAACTTAGTCCCCATAAATAGGTATGGTAATTTTTATACACCATAGTGACGAATGTGTTAATTATATTTTATATGACATGATTATTGAGTCAATAAAATATATATAACAGTTATTAGTGCAATAACAATAACTTTATTAGTATTATTACCACCCTTTATGGCCAGGTCTGAAACAGCAAGAAAATCTTACGCACTGAATGATATCTAATTTCCCGGGTAAAATTGCAGGTCGAGAATTGCGTTCTTGAACAGGCAATATGGACAACCACTATGACGTCACATATTGCTCAGGTCGATATAGTAAAATGAATGCCTTGTAAACTAGCACTTAAACCCCTAGAACTGGCCCGGCAAGGTGGTAGTAATAGTATGTAACTCAATGTTGACCATAATTTCCGTTAAACAATCAGCACTGCATCAAAAACAAAAAGTTTTAAAAGGAAAATAAGAAGATCCAAGAGCATAAATCCTGAGGTGAGCGGGAGATATATATCACCCACTCATTAGCAATTCCTGGGAATTTTGTTTGGTGGCTTTTTTCGCTCATCAGTACAGTACGTGTATAACCATGGCCCTAAATATGTCAACCCTCGGTCCCTCGCATAGGTATATTGTATTTCCCTCAGATATACCCTGTGTCAAAAACCTCCCATTAAATACACTCTTTATATTTTGCTGTCATAATTTACTTTTGTGTATTTTTAGAAATTCTTTGATGCTGTGGACAGTATACAATCCTTTGGGATGGCCAGCTTTGCCAATGGCTTCACATTCGCTTTTGAGGAGTTTATAAAGGTATTGTATTGAAATCGTTAGGACAAAATGAACAGAGGGGAGCAGGCGATTTCTGCTGGAAGATTTATTTTTTCAAGAGGAAGTTTGAATTGCAAAGTGAATAGGCACACAATACAAAATATTTTAGGTCTTCTAGTATTTTTTGAGCCATTACACTTCTGAATTCATTTTTAACAATTTTACTTTGTCAAAAATAGATAAAAAATTAGAAACCTTCCAGATTCTTTGAATGATCATTAATTATCCCATCGAACGAAGTTCGGAGAGATATAGGGAACGCCTCCTACTGTCCATCCGTCCAGGCAATAACTCAAATACCGTTGGCTTGATTTTGTTCATATTTTGTACACATATACCCTATGGGGGTAGAAGTTCTGCTCGAAAGCTGAATTTCAAAATGGCCGCTCATTTAAAAATGGCGGCCATTTAAGTGCCGATTTTACAGTTATTTAGGTGCAATATGTAAAACTGTAATAGCAATATGTTTTAAATGTAAAAAGATTAAATAGTACATTAATAAAGCTAGAAATGTAGATATTAAAGAAGCACATGGCAGCCATCTTGAAAAATGGCGGCCTTTACTCGTTATTTTACGATTTTTGCTGTAACTCGAAAAGTAGTGGAGCGATTTTATTCATATTTGGTATTTGAATATTATAAGCATGACACACTGTCCAATGACACATTTGGTAGAAGGTGGCCATCTTGAAAAATGGCTACCATTTTTGGTATATGCTTTGTTTGTTAGAATGCCAGCCATGGCTGTTCGATGGGATTTGCTACGCTTTGTCGTTGCTGTTGTCTAGTTTTAGATTGGTCATAAAGTATACCAAGGATGTCGTGGGGACGTACATATTATGACTCATTTGAAAAAAAGTAAAAAGTATCCAGGGTTTTTATATTGTTCATTGTTAAGTCCTTGGGCTAAAACGGGGCCCTGATAAGGTTCTAAGAATTTGATGTGGCATGATCTTGTTGAACTTGCAATGTCTCAAGAACTTAAGCATCTATAATTCATTTTGATAAACAATGTATGATGTCATGTTGGGTGGTGCATATGGGCAGTGATTGCAACACATATAAATTGTTCAAATTAGAAAACATTTCACGTGCAGTAAATAAAGGCTATAAAATTTTAGCAACTGCTGCAATGACATCTGAGAGATGGGAATTTGATTTTTCAAACTTATTTTGTTTAATCATATGTCAGTATAAAGCTCACACTATAATTTATGATTTATATGTAATGCTTAATCTAAAAAAAAGGTTAAGTGTATTTTTGAGTATTTTTAATATTTGTTATAAAAATAGTGTTTATTTTAAATATACCCCTCCATAGGATTTAAATCCATGGATAGATATTTATTAAATTCTCTCATCAGCTGAAGATTTAAAAATGTTTCAATTGCTCCTAACATGTCCCTTGAGTAATTCTGTTTATATTTCAGTTTAATGCTACATTCTTTGATGACCTTGGCGAGGGAGCACATTGTAATCGCATCATCATGCTCTTCACAGATGGAGGTACTGAAGAACCGGAGGATGTATTCAAGAAATATAACTGGCCAGAGAAGAAGGTAAATTAATATCCATTTTCAAGGGATTTGTTATTACGAACAAGTACTAGCATTGCATTCTCTAGATTTCATTGTATTATGTTTTTTGCTAAATTGTATGAAATATTCATAAGGCCAGACATCTGAGCTCAAGATTATATGAATGCGAACAGTTTTATTTAGAGGTTATGTCACTATCGTTGCATATATGCCCCACCTTGGGAGGGACATTGATCACTGAGAACCGAGGGCATATGTGCAACTATAGTGACATAAACGATTTATAACATACCTATGATGATCTAGTGTGGTCAGAGAGTACCGTTTTCTTATCTAATTGACTAGCAATGGTTCGGAAATGATGATTTATTCCCATGTTTGTATCTTACGAATGTACGAGTCAATTTGACCTAGGCCTAATGTATGACGTAGTCCCATCGCTTGACCAATCAGAAAGTTAGCGGGCGCGGGCTTTTCAAAAGTTATATTGGCCCGCTGTCTTGTGAACAGTTTACACTATACATTAGGGGTCACACGGTTAACCGTGGCTTGCGGTTACCGCGGTTCATACCTCCATGACGGTTAGCTCGCACACAATCTTGAAAACCGCGGTTCTTGAAGAACCGTGACATTTTCAGTTTCACTTCAGAAAAATAAAAATGTAAACTCGGAATTAAACTCCATTTCAAGCTTTCGTGTAATACCAAATAACTAAACATCGTCTGGAATCGTTAATCATCATGCAATAATGCGAACCATACCTGATATTTACGACGATCTTCTGATATAGACGGCAGATAACAAAAACAAAAGGAAAATGTTGATAAATTCCACCGGCATATTGACCCGGAAGTGACCTACGCCAAACATTTCGCGCAATCCTATTGGTTGATAGAACAGTATACTGTAAAAAGCCGAACGCCGAATGCATTGAATTTGCGAACGAGTCACGTTCTGTGTATTACGTTCGCCTTTGATCCATGTTGAGTCCTGACAAAGTGTTGAACTTAAGTAATATTTCTAAAGAAAACATTTATTCAGTTTAGTGAAGTACTGTGCTAATTTTGCCAACAGTTGACAAGTTATTTTATGTGTTGAAAAAACTTGAACATCAAACAAGAAGATCAACACAGTGAACACACAGATATTTTGGGAGGGAGGGAAAAAAGACTGAACAAACAAACGAACATTGTGTGAAACTGGATACTTACAATACTGAATACAATAAAACACTGTGACATACTTAGTATGTTTTCTGATTTTCGGATCAATTTCATATATTTTTGCTCATTTCAAGAGGCCCGTGAGAACCGCAATCAGAACCGAACCGAACTGTGAAATACAATAACCGAACCGAACCGTGAAATCTCAAACCGTGTGACCCCTACTATACATCATCATAGGTATGTAATAATAATGAATATATACCAGGTACATTCAAGGTCATATGTTTAGTCATGAGATTTAACACAGTAAGATATTGTAGATTCGTGTATTTTCCTATGTCTTGGGAAGTCAACCAGATCCTCATTGGAGCATTAGATGGATTGCTTGCGAGAATAAAGGTATCATGACATACCACATGCTTGCCATGACACGCCACATGGTTATGGTTTCTGCAATAACATAAAATATGATAAAGAACACACAAACATAAAAATATGGCTTATCTGCTATCTTTAATGAATATTGTGTTCTAAATAAATGTAGCTTTATACATGTACTTACTTATAGGTGGAAGGAAACATACTTTATAACATGCTGAGATATAGGGTGTTCAGTAATGACACTAGGTCTCCCATTTTTACAGTTTTAACAAATCTTTCTAGATTTTGCACATATTATTTTGCATGTGAGTGCACATACCAAATTTCATGTTGAAAATTTAAGCAAGATTCCTTAAAATTTGACAAAATGGGAGACCTAGTGTCATTACTTAGTGAACACCCTGTATAAAAAGTAGTGCAATACTCAAATAATGCTTGCATGAAATAATAATTACATTCAAATTGTACAAGGTTTAAAAGGCTCCTGATCAGCAAATGCTTGAACAAACAATCAGTGGTGCTAATCTGATAACTCAATAACAATGTACAGTCAACATATTTGGTGACCAGCACTTAATATTTAATGTTCTGTCGTGACATTTGTCACAAAAGGTTACATATATGTGATTGCAGCCAGGGAGTGACATTTTTCATGTTTCTGTTATTCTTATGTTCAGTTTAGTTCACCCGAAGGGTCCCTAGCTATGTCTCTGGCTCTGATCAGCCCTTCTTTTATTAGGATATCTCTCATCTTTGACCTACTAAGGGTTCTTGATGAGAAGTATGTGTATAAAATAAATGTTTTCAAGAGCCTTACATGTTAATCTAGCAGCACTTCATACTTAAAAGTGTTATCTGACATTTTAGGTTCGGATATTTACTCATGTCATGGGCTCCTCACCAGTGGCTGGGGAGGTGCCAACGGTTAAAGACATAGCTTGCCATAATAGAGGTTTGTAGCACTGGCATGGAGCTATGCCAAAATGCCCATCTTAAGGTTGACGTTCGGTGTAACAGTAACCATGTTTTCGTTGGCTAATTAATCACACTTTGTTAGAATGGCTGGATCAATTTGGACTGATGCTATATGGATTGGAGTTGCCCACTTATACCCAATATTCCCACATAATGAATGTATCACTGCTATCAAACCTGTTTTCCTGAAGTAATTGGTCATGATGTTTAATGTGGGCATTTTAAGGGAGATTTAGTTCACTTTCTGGTCCATTCTCAAACACCTTTATAAGGGGTTTCAATTGGTCAAGGCTAATTGGGGAACATAATAGGGAAATTATTCCACAGCGTAAATAGGTTTGCAGTAGTATAAACCATTTATAGATGTGTCCTATGATACTAATGCTGTTGATGATTCTGTTGCTTTATTCCTTTGTACAGGTACACTTAACAGCAACACCTACAATTTGACCATGTTTGTTATAACAAATTCTGCCTCCCACTTTTATATGTTGAGCCTGTAATGTTATGTTAATTCATGAATGTTCATGAATGTTCATGAATCTTGTTTTGAAACAATTGTTAGAGTGCTGATTTGTTGAATGATGGCATTTACAGCTAACATCATGGATTACTTATTTGTGACAGTATTTTTGGCTCACACAGTGAGCCTATGGGATTGACCAGGCGTCCGTTGGTCCGTCCGTCCGTCCGTCAACATTGGCCGCACAAATTAAAACTGCTATTCAGATTGAATCATATCCACATTCATTTTATGCATATCCATAATGCCTATTTGACCTATCATCGCTATTTCCCAAGTTCGCCCAGTTTCCGAGAAATTGCGGATTTTGACGTCAAAAAGTCAAATATTCTGTAAATACTAGACACTTTGTTGAAGTAGAACTTTCAAATAACTTTTAGTAGTTGGTGTATATGCAACTTATGTCCTCTGTAGATTTCAAAGCTCTTGGAATTACAGTTTTTGGTGTTTACTCTATAAAATTTGAAAAAAAGTAGGACTTAAGTCATTTTCAGGAAACTTTCTCGTGTATAAAGTCAATGGCAGGTTTTGTGATTGACAAGATTCTTAAAGTTTGCCTTATACTTGATTATTTCCTGCAATAAATTACATCATTAATAGATTTAAGCATTCCCTACATGTTTCTCAATATATGTCAGCATCAAATTTTTACCCTTTTTGAGATATACGTCAAAAAACAGTAAAAATAAGTTATTTTTCAACTTCCTTCAATTTGACCAAATTTTTTTTGAAAATCATCTACAAGTTGCCAGGAGTTCAAATCTGACATTAGTTTTAGGATTTGACCTTTACTTGACCTTCAGTGACCTTCGAAAGGTAAAAAAAGTTGATTTTTCAAATTGATTTTTGGATGTAAATTTTGGTCAGGTTAATCACAAAAGACCTTACTGAGCTCTGAATAAGTAAAATTTTCAAGGTCAAAGGTCATCAAACTAGGTCACACAACTATGCTATCTAAGTTTCTCAAAGTTCGAGACTACAAATCCAAGTCAATATTTTTGTTTGAAAGTCAGGATATAAATTCCTCTGAAGGTTCCAAACTGTGTGAGCACAGGACCGTGGGTCCTTCATTAAATCACAGTATTGTTTATTTTAAGCCTTTTTTGCTTTTTCAGGTGTATGTTCTTAAAAACCACTGACCCTTGCCTCTTCAACTTTATTGTTATTAATGAGTTACTTTTATGATAGTGTTTATGCAAGTTAGTAGCTTAAGACAGTTTTGCATCAACTTTCCTTTGTTGACTGCCCATTCCCCATAATCACACTCGGGATCGTAGAGCATACCACACAAATGCTTCACTATTAGGATGTTTACCACTTCTGATTTTAATCATTGATTAGTTGACTCATAAAGTATCAGGGATTCAAATGAATCAATGATTAAAATCAAAAATAACAGGTTCCAGTGAAGTTTGACATTTTTCCAATTTGACAAAAGTATTAAACAAAACTGTTTTATATGTGTTTTTACTCATGACATATTTATTCATTGCATCTTCTTACATTAATTCAGGCACATGTATTTCAGAGGGAAACAAGTTGTCTGAATTCAGACAGAAACATTCCTTAGCTAAACATATAGTGTATCTTATACTTGAATATTCTGTGTCTGAATTCAGGCAGCGGCTTTCTAATCTATAAGAAACCTAAATTTTCACTGTCTGAATTCAGACACAACTTGATAATAGTAAGATGAATTTGTTTATCTCTTGTGTCTGAATTCAGACACAGGCTTTTCCATATTAGAAAACAGAAGCTGATTTCAACTGTCTGAATTCAGACACAATTTGATAATAGTAAGATGAATTTGTTTATCTTATGTGTTGTGTCTGAATTCAGACAGTGGAAATCAGTATCAATTTTCTCAGATTGAAATCTTGTCTGAATTCAGACACATAAACAAATTCATCTCACTATAATGAGACTGTGTCTGAATTCAGACATAGGCTTTTCCATGTTAGAAAACTGATTCAACT